TCTGCACATCGGCTCCAATTATCCACCAGTTCCAAGCATCCCTCTCAGGACAACTCTTTTTAGTGTGGTCAGTGACGAATCTGAAGCAGCAATGGCAATAATGCCCCTTTTTTTCCTTTCCGTTTCCCTGGGCCTTCTTCGTCCTCTCTTTTCTTTTGACGCTTGGGCGCCCGGCACGGGGCCTGTAGGCGGGGGGCAGGCCATCGCGGTAGTACCTAAAACTACATCTTGTAGGTCTTTCAGATCCGCTGCTTTGATCCCAAGGGAGCTGAACTTTGCATCCAGAATGACACAGCCCGGTGTGTTTGGCAGTGTGACTTAGAGTGCCGCTGGGCAGCGGACCGGGGACCTCAAGGAGGCTGCCCCATCGCGTGGTGCAGCTGGCGATAGGTATCTTTGGCCACGTTGAGGCCGGACTTGCCTCTGGGGACTATCCGTTGGGAGGCCGTTGACGGGGCTGGAGAGGCCGTTGGGGGGAAGTGTCCTTGGCGTCCTGTGCTCCCCCGCAGCGAGCTGGGGAAGTAGCGCGGACACGCGAGATGAGGATGTGGTCTAGGCGTTCTCGTCGACGACAAGGGGCGGGCCCTCTGCGGGGCGGCCGCTCATGGCGTCGATGGTGCGCGCGAGGCGGTCGGCGACCTCGGGAGCCGTAAGCTGGTTCGCCGGGTTCGCGGCGGAGCGGACGTAGCGGATCTCCACCTCGCCGCTGTCGAGCGCGTCGTAGACAAACCCCAGCTGAACGCGGATGTGGCGCGATCGCGCGGAAAGGTCGCGTTTGCGCAGCTGCGCGATGACGGACTGGTTGTCGCAGTAGACGCGGCTCACGGGGAGAGTAGCGCCGGTGACGTAGGAGACCGTGCGTCGGAGCGAGATGATGAGCCGTACGATGACGACGAGCGCGTAGAGCTCGGCCTCGAAAGTGGAAAGCGCGGTCGTCTTCTGGGCCGACGAGAAGCCGGCGACGCAGGCGCCACACAGGGTGACGAACCCCCCCGACCGGGACTTGCAAAAGCCCGACGCCGTGTGGTGGACCTCGTTGCCGTGCGAGGCATCGACCCACCCGTCGAGGTACAGGTTCTCCTTGCGTGTGTACGTGACTCCGAGCGCCGCGTTGTGGTTCAGGAAGCGAAGCGCCCGGGCGCAGGCCGCACGGACGGCCGGCGTCGGCGCGTTCGGCGACGCCGCGGATGGCCGCGCGACTGTGCTCAGGATGCCGTAGATGCTGAGGTACCATGGCATCGTACGCGTCGCCATGTATCCGATGGACCCGAGGACCGAGTCGACGTTGAGGCCCGCCGGCGCCGGCGCGCCATGCGGCGCGTCGACGTCGCTGGCGTGGAACGTCGCGTGCATCGGAGTAGGCACGCGGTTGGACTCGGAGAATCCGAACTTCTCGACGACCTTTTTCGCGTACGCCTCCTGGGAGACGTGAACCCAGCCTGCGGCCGGGTCGTTGCTGATCTCGAGGCCCAGGTAGTCCTGCCCGCCCTCGGTGAGCGGGAACCGGTCAGCAAGCCGCGTCGCGATGTAATCTGCGACCTCGCAGACGCCAATGACGAGAATGTCGTCGACGTAAACCAGGACGAAGACGCAGCCAGAGATGGCCCCGGTCAGGCGAAGGCAGAAGAGGCAGCGGTCAGCCGCGTGCTGAGTGAAGTTGAGCTCGTCGACGAGGTACGAGCAGAGCGCGTCGAACCAAACTTTCCCGCTGTCCGTTGCGCCGTAGATGTTCTTCTGGACGCGGAGCAGGTACTGGCTGGGCTCGAAGGGAAGGTTCCCGGAGTGGCGGGCGAGCAGGTAGTCGCGGAAGCCCGGCGGGAAGTAGAGGTAGTATGCGCGCTGAGGTGCTGCGAGCATGTACGCCTTCGCGATGTCGAACTGCCGGATCTCCCACCCGTACTGGGCGGACAGCGCGAGCACGATGAGGATCGTGCTCGCCAGGCACGTTGGCGAGGAGGATTCGGGCGTCCGTTCCTCGCGGCTGCCGTCGGCCACCCAGCGGGCTTTCCGTGACCCGTCACGCTTAAAACACATTGTCATGATCGACTTGAGGATCCACGCGCCACGGGGCACGTCGGCCCGCGGGACCCGTTTGAGCGCCGGGATTCCGTCGAGGAAGTAGTCGCCGAGGTCGAGACGCTCCTTGTCGATGGCCTTCAGCCAGAGCTCGTAGTCGGGGCGGCGTAAAACCTGGTTGATCGACATGGCGCCAGGATCCGCGGCCGGGCTCGAGTGTGGCTGAGCGTGGAGGTAGGCGAGGCCCGGCGTGAGGAAGTCTGAGCTCGTCGCCACGGCAGCGGTCGCCGCGGGGAGGCTCGCGTAGAGCGTGTTGGGCTTTGGCGTGATCTCGTGGCAGGCGTTGTTCACGAGTGCCATGGCGATGAGTGGCATGACGCACGCGGCGCCGAGGGCCTTGGCGCCGGACCACTTGCCGTCCGGCACGCCGGGGACCATCTGGAAGCGCTCCGGTACCGTTCGGCGTCGCGTCGTGCGTCGCGTGTCGGCTTCGGCTTCTTCGGGCTCTTCGGGTTCCTCAGGCCCGTCAGGTTCGTCGTCTCGCGCGTCTCCCAGAGGCGGCCAGACGTAGCCGCGGGTGTTGTCCGGTGGCTCCGGGTCCGCGGCCGGGTCCGCCGGGGCGGGCTCGGAGACGACGCGGAGCGTGGCCGCGTCGAGCTTCTCACCTGCGAATGCGAGGAATCGCCATGTGCGTACGACTCGCACGTTTTGCTGCGCGTAGACGTAGATGGCGCCGCAGCCATGGCTTCGGGCCGGGCCGAGGTACGTCGTGAGGACGCCATTGGGGTCGAAGCGTTTCCGCTGGCCGTTGTCGAGCGCGGCGACGCTCGCGCCGAACTCGCAGATTGCGGTCATGTCCGGCTTGTGGCCGAAGTAGGCCTCGTACGCGGACGTCCCGGAGACGGGGTCCGCCCTGACATTCAGACAGTCGGCGGCCCAGTGGATTGCGTATTCCCATAGGGAAGCCGCGACGCCGGTCTGCATTGAAGTACGCGCGATCGCGGTCAGGCGTTTGATTGCATTTTCGGCGACGTCGACGTGGGCCTCCGGCGCCCGCCGTCGGTGGACGACGGCCAGCCGCGCGAAGACCTCCTCGGACTCGCGGCTCTCGAACTCGCCGCCGAGGTCGGAGACGTAGACCCGCGGCGGCTTGTCGCGGGCCGCGAACTCGGCGAAGTGCGCCGGGATGCCGATTTTGATTGCGTCGCTCTTCTTCGCGAGTCCGTGGGTGAAGACCATGGCGGGCTTGCCGTCGACGCTCTGGCTCACCGCCACGAAGACGTACCTGGCGCCGGAGCGCGCCTTGGTCTGCATGGGCCCCATGAGGTCAATGTTCCAGACGCGTTCGTCGCGTGGTTCTGCGCTTCTCGAGATTGCGAATGTCGGTGCTGCGCGCATGTTGTCGACCTTGCATCGGCAGTCGCTGACCTTGTCGCCGGTCAGGGTCCAGTTGTGGTCCTTGGCCGTCGCGGTCTGGACCTTGTCCCCGCAGTGGCCCATGCCGAGGTGCAGGAACCGCCGCGTCGCGCTGGCTCCGGCTGGTAGTTTCGATGGTGCGTTCTCGAGGGCGCGAGGTCGTAGTAGGGGCGGCGGGGCGGGTACCGACATCATCGGCGCCATCGTCGCCGATGGCGCGAGCTTGGCGGCGGCCACGGACGCGCGGCCCATGGCCCGCGCCGAGATGGCGTCCGCCATGACGTCGACGATCGCGTTGCCCACGTGTCGCTGTTGTTGCTCACGCGGTAGTCTCGGGTCGATCGTGACGCCCATAGCTGACGCGGCTTCGGTCACGAGGACGTGCGACGCACGGCCAGGATGAGAGGGACGCTCCACGATCATGTTGGGCGTGTCCTGGCCGAAGGTGCGGGGCGACATGAGTCTGGAGGCGTCGTGTACGTTGACTGTCCGCGCAAGGTGTGCGGTGACTTCGTTCTTGTCGACCTCGACCGTGGTCGGGTTGGAGCGTTCGTCGCGCATGAGCTTGACCGTGTGCTGGCGGACCTCGAGCACGGACCACGCGTCGCCGCTCCCCCGGATGCGGACTCGGGAGCCCGCGGTGACCTTGTCTCCGGGCTTGGTCGTGATCGTGGCGACGATGAGTGGCGAATATGGGTCTTCGTCCTTGGCCCGCCGGGGTGCCTCGAGGCGCTTGAACTCCCCCGGAAGGAACGCTTCCTCCGGGACCTCGCTGGCGGGGAGCAGGTGCTGCTCTAGCCGTTGAGGAGTTGCGTACAGCTTCGATTTCTCGATTTCGGCGAGGTTGCCGAGCTCGATGTTCGCGGGCTCGTAGTGCCGGTGGATTCGGTCGCGCCAGAGGCAGCTCCCGTGCTCCGTGGCGCGGAAGAACTCGATTCGGGGCGTCTTGCCAGGTACCTTCGGCACGTAGCCGATGGCGGCCATGAGCTTGTCGAACTCGGGGCCCATGAGGGCCCAGAACGAGTAGACGTTTTCGTATATGGCCGCGTGTGGCTTGTTCGCGTCGACGGCCGCCACGAAGTGCAGGGCTTGCGCGGCGCGTGGATCGTCCCAGCACAGTTGCAGGCCCTGGGGCGCGACCATCTGGCATGGGAATCCGCCGCATACTATGCGGTACGCGTGTCGTGACCATGGCACGTTTCGGTACTCTAGTCTCGCGGTGTCGCCCATGGCGAGCGCGTCGGGGTGCTCGGCGCGGAGCATCTCGAGCGCGGTCTCGTCGATCTCGCCGACGGCGACGATGCGGGCGCCGCGTAGGGCGAAGGCCTTTGATAGTTGTCCTCGGCCTGCGAACAGTTCGACCACTTCGACGTGACCGTCGGTGACGTAGTCGCCGGGCTGCGAGAGCATGGGCGTCATGACTCCCCCGGAGGCCGTGGAGACTCCCCCGGAGGCCGGAGCGGTTGGAGCTTCTGTCGCGTGCTCCGCGTCGATGTAGAGTAAGTTGTCGTGCTCGTTGACGGCGACCCACTCCTCCTCCGGGGTGTAGAACCCGTAGGGTTCCGTGTCCAGGGACATCTTGAAGCCCTGCTTTCGCAGCATGCCGACGGACAGCACCTTCGTCGTGAAGCCGGGCACGATGTTGTCGTTGTCGACCTCGAAGATGACGTTGTCGACCTTGAGTCGTGTTCGCGTGTAGCCGTGGACGTCGTGCCTGTGGCCACCGCCATCGGCGAGGCACCTGGGGCGGCCCAGGGTGCCGTCGGCGGGGTGAATTGGCCCGTCGGGCTTCATGCCCGTGCTGTTCGCTTGCGCGCCTCCATCGAGAAGTAGTCTTGTGGCTCCAGGCCTTGGCGGTGGCAGCTGCGTGGGCCACTGCACCGGCGTCGCCGCCGCGATGGTGCAGGTGGGGGCGTGGCTGTCGACCCACGCCTGGAGGTCGTTCTTGGCCTCGTCGTGCCACTTCGGTCGTTCTTCGCGGGGTCGCGTTGGCTTGTCCACGGTCGCCTGGGGCCGGGCCTTCGTGTCGAGGTCCGGCCTCTGGTGTTCCTGGGCGTAGCGGCTGTCGTGGGCCGTGTACGAGAGCACGTATTTCTTGCGCGCGATGGCCTGGATCTTGATGATGGGCACGATGGTGCCCAGGCTGGACATGACGTTGGCGCCGAGGAAGGCCGTGGTCTGCATGACGTGGGCGTGCTGCGCGTGCATCATGGCCGCGTCGTAGTCGCTGCGCGTGTCCGGGATGTCGAAGTTCGCGATCTCGTCCTCGCGGACGTTGTCGCAGGCGCCGGTGTGGCCGGGGTCGTTGAAGGCCACGAGGTCGTGTTCCGAGCCCAGGTCCGATGCCGTGGTCACGGACGCGTCG